CTCTCTCTCTCTCTCGCTTTAATAGTACAAAACTTTCATGGCCCTTAAGAATGTTAAGTTTTGTTGTTTTTTTCTCACATAAAGTTGTATGTGACTTTGGATTAACCCTTTAATAGGCAGGAATATAAAAATACCTTAGACAATTCATTTATTGGGGCACAATAATATAATTTAATTTACTAATATTGCTGATATTTTTGTATTTTCCCATATAATGACATGTAAAAGAACTGAACATATAGGCCTACTTTAAGGTTAGCAGCTATCCGTTGATATTGCTACCATGTTACTTTTAGATTTTTGTACCATCGTTTGACCTGAAAATCTGCAGGTACGCTCTTTATAAATATAAATATACATATATATATATATATATATATATATATACAGTATATTCTTAGAGCTTTGGTCCGCTCACTCACTATCCCTTTTTCTAGCTTCTCATATGCCTTTATTTATTTATTTACTTTCTCCTTTTTATTACAGAAAATAGGTGTGTGGTGTGTGTGACTTTCTTTCTCTCATGGAACACCAAAGGAGATGTTTGTCAGTATGTCTGAGCTACTCTCTTGGAGACCTGGATGGAGATCAGGGCTTAAAAAAACGTAAAAAACGTAAAAAAAAAAAAGAAAAAGAAAAAAAAAAGGCATAATTAAAAGTAGCTCATAAGACCTGTGCACTATATTACAGTTCTTCTGACGACATATGATAGCTGTTTTGCAGTCTTTTTCAGTGTTTGAAAAATACCAGCTTCAACTTTCTTCTATAAATAACTGCTTTGGTGTTCCACAGAAGAAAGAAAGTCAGGTTTCGAAACACATGAGGGTGAGTAAATGATGACAGAATCATTTAATTTGAGTAAACTATTCATTTAATTGGGAATCCCATTTGAAACATGGTGTGTGATGAATAATTTCTATTCCACAACGCCCAAGCTGCTGCACATTATTGTTACACTGCAGGTTATTAGGGCTTGTTCATTTTTTGTTCTTTGTGAATGCATGTCAGGAGGTATTGGATGACTTGGTGTTAAATTGCCTTTTCGATAAGAAAAAAATCTGATATTGAGAATTTGAGAGACATTTTAGAAACCCAGCTGAGATTGACATGACATTGGAGAAAGCGCATATGGAGACATAATCAGCATATATATTTGTTGTTTCCTGTACCCAGCATCTTGGCCTTGCTCACAGAGAATAAAACATGCTGGAAATGATTGTAAATCATTCAAGGCAGATGGAAGACTTTTCCTCTGATAGTTATGTGTAAGCTTTTCATGCTCTTTTGCCTTTTGGGAACCAAATGCAACATTTATTCCGTTTGAGTGCATTTTCTATGGATTACAGAGCATATGGCAGAACACATAGTTCAGAGTCTAATTCCTCATTTCTAATCTTAGTTCTTCATTTTTTGCTTATTAAATGGAATGTATTATGCTTATGCCCAAAACAGCACTGTCCAAGAAGCCTGTCCAAATGTCTTTTGAACAAGAATCCTCATAGACTACTGCCTCTGGAGAGTTCTGATCGGATCTATATCATTTGTAACCCAATAGTCTGTATTGTGTTTGTAATAAATCCTCCGTGTGATTGCTGCCAGACCAATGGCCAGTTGTCATGTGCCGCGTGTGAGGATCAGGTTTCAGGCCAGCCCTTTCCCAGTAAAGCAGACTGAACAGGAAGTCCTTCTGAAAACCCATTCTCCATGATGCCTTGCCTATTAGTGTGGCATGCATGGTAAATGTCTTGACCGTGGCCACTGCGTTCTGCTCGGCTCACCCTTTTCACCGTTCTTCTCAAATCTTGCAGAGTGCTCGTTCTCTGTTGAAATACAGACAAGACCCACTATCGCTCAAGAGACGGTCAATGCATCGGTGTTGGTATCAGTTGCCTTAATTCAATAGCTGGCTGCCAGGGAGAGATTAACTATTCAGGGAAGGTAGTTAAAGAGGCTATTGTGTTGCACCGCTGTGGAACAGCTACGATTGGGGAGGCTTTTGTCCCTGGGGACTCCATGTCAAAGCAGCAGCCAGGGCAGGGAGGGATGGAATTCTACACACACGTACATTATCTCTCCGTCAGACATCTGTCAACTGACCGTGTGTGTTGTAAATACTTAGGTGTCATAAATAGCAAATATTTGACAGTGGCTTTTGTGACTACTTGTGTTTGCCAAAATGCAAATGCAGCTTTATTTTGGAATAAAAGGCTTTACTGTTGGCCTGTCCAAAAATATATTTTCAACACATAGATCTAACAATAAAAGCTTTTAAAAGTAAAGTGTGTATTTCTAAGCCACTAGTGGCATCAAACATAATTGCAAAATGAATGTAACTAAACAGGTTTTCCAATCTCCGCATTTGCCTTTGGTCCTAATAAAGTAATAATCTGAAAAAAGACAGAAATTGCCATGTTGGGCAGCTCAAATATTTTTTTCAGGAGAATCTTGGAGTAGATCTTGGTGTAATCTAAGGCCAAAGACCCTCAGATAAAATGATTTCTTTGCAAAGGATCCCTAAAGATATAGATATAAAGATATATTTTACGTATAAATGCCATGTGTGGGAAAAAAAAGTGTAATATGTGTGAAAATGTGAGAAAAACATTTGATATTATAAAGACTTACATATTGTTTCATAAAACAATATGCCGTTCTTTATTATTGTTTTTCAAAAATGGTCAGTTGAATAAATAAATCATATTCTCATGATTTCTAATAATAATAGTAACATAAAATTATACTGTCAATGATTGGGTAAATATATTACATCAAACACTGACGAATACATTTGTGTCATTTTTTTCCTTTCAAATTTGGCACCCTGTGAGGGTCCCAGGACACAGTTTGAAAACATTTGAGTTGGTCTAAGGAAACATAATGGAATGCAACATTGCCCACTGTGTATAGTATATTTCTCTGTATAATGTGTAATGAACCTAATGAAAATATGTCATTTTTTTTATTTATCTTCACAGATCAGTCAAAAGAAGGGCCAATGTGGCCATTAACATGTGGCGATATAATATAATCAGAACCAATATGGAGCATCTCTGTTTTAATCCAGAAAGTCGACTCAAGGGAACATCATCAGTAAAGCCTATCTAGATAGCAGAAGGTGATCAGTTGTTCACTTCTAATCTAAAGGCTATTTGGTCTTTTTTGGAATTCATCCTGGTACCCCTAACAGGATTTAGGATAGCATGTGTCAAGAACCTCAATGGCCACACCTTCTTCGCTCATATGTTTGTCATCTAAAGGATTTGACGTTTCTTCAATGATCTTCACATAATTTGCCAGAAAACATAACATTATTTTGTTCAGTGCACTCTTGTAGCATAACCACTGGTTACCATGCCTCCCATTTGCCGGCCCCATTGTGTACTCTTACTGCTCAGCACCTTCCTGAGTCTTGGTTTGGGCCTGGAGTTCACAGGCTCAGAGGGTCAGTGGGCACGCTATCTACGCTGGGATGCCAGCACCAGAAGTGACCTCAGATTTCAGTTCAAAACAGCTATATCAGATGCTCTGGTTCTCTACTTTGATGATGGAGGATATTGTGACTTCCTGCTCCTGAGCATTGAGGAAGGCAAGCTGAAGTTGCGTTTTAGCGTGGACTGTGCAGAAACCACTATAACCTCCAACAAGATGGTAAACGACAGTCGCTGGCACTTTGCCACCATCAGCAGGCACAACTTGCGAACCGTGTTGGCACTGGACGGAGAGTCAAAGGTGGATGAGGTGAGACCGCAAAGGCAGTTCATGAAGATTGTCAGTGACCTGTATCTTGGAGGAGTGCCTCAAGACATTCGGACATCTGCCCTAACACTTCCAGCGGCTAAGGAGATGCCACCGTTCAAGGGGATTATTACAGACCTGGGTTACGGGAATCAGGTTCCAACACGCCTAGGGAGCCAAAAGGTCCGGTTAGAGATGGAAGGCTTGTGTACGGAGAACCCCTGTGAAAATGGAGGCAGTTGCAGCATGGCTGACGGTGAAGCTTACTGTGACTGCTCCAAAACAGGATATGTAGGTCGTTACTGCAATGAAGGTAAGAATGTTTACCTTTGATTTTGAAAACATATCTGGCCAATAGTTTGATGTAATTTATTTTAATAATCAATATTTAAGAAAACATAAAAAAAAAAAAAAAATCTTGCGTTAACATGAAATCAAAACTGACCCTGTTTACTTTCCTTTTACACATTCAAGGTAAATTTGTTAAAGTAAATTTATCTGGATATGTTTACTAAAAAACAAGTTGAAAAATGTTGGCAATTACGTTTTTGCATTTTTTTTTTTTTTCTGGTTGAACGTCAAGTTTGACTGAAAACATGTTGCATTAAAAAAGTAAAATGGGTCTTGAATGCTGTGTCATGTTAACTCTTGTTTCAAATACTGTTTAATGTCATTCACCCTACCTCATACACCTCCAAACACATGCATATGCAGTTAAATTACACCTCAAAGTACATTAATTTGTGAAATTATCACATTGGAACTAGACAACATTACTGATTGTACACAAGCATGCTAAGCATAAACTTTTTAAATTAATGATGATATGCAGTGGCCCCAAAAAATATTTAGACACTTGTGTCATACTTAAGAATGTGGGTACTCTTTGCATTAATAAAGCATATGATATTTATTTTTCATCAAGATAGCATACATACACTTTCGAGTGAAACAAACAAATAAATAAATACAAAAGTTATTACCTGTTTATTCCTGTTTGGGTACCTTTGACCACTTGCAGGGTACTGACAATATACACTAAAAAGCCCTGCAATATCAACTTGCTACTTTGCAAAAATGTTTAGAACATTTAAGTGTCCAAATAGGGCCACTAATGCAATTGAATGTGTCAACCTAGAAAAAAAATAAATAAATAATAATGATGCTTTGATTATCAATAATTACTTTGCTCATTTTATCACTCAAGGAATAATGATTGAGTGACAGTTTATGTCATCATTGTGTGCCTTGATATGTTACAGATATTGTTTTCACTTCAAACCTTTTGCAGGGACATCCATCTTTTGATTTTTTTTAATATAGTCATTGTTCTAGGTTAAATTATACTTTTTTTCATCAAATATCCAGATCCTGCACGTTACAGACAAGTGAAGGTACACTGCAATTTCAAGAGCTGAACCTTTTAAACTGAAATTGTTATTTCTATTATTTAGAACAGAACATTTCTTGATTCTAAACAGTCAAGTTTCTTTTTTCAACTGTACTTCAGTGTTAAGACCTATTTGGGATTACTCTCACCGTAGACTCACCAGCAGGTATTAGAATACGTCTCAAAACTGATTATACTTTCCGAATGCACACTGAATTGCCAAGAGACTTTGGTGCTGTGGTTATGAGAGATTACTCTTTTCGTGTTGTGCCCTCTGAATAGTCTATAATTCCACAAGCATCTCAATTTATTCAGGGCATGAATACAAAGGCATCCAGTCAGGCAGGGAATCAGTGGACCCAAACCTGATTGATTGCCTGACTTATTGCATTTCGTGATCAAACCCAAGCCCTTTAGACTGATCACACCAGCCCTGTGCCTTAGTGCTCCTTTATAAAGATTAAGAGATAGTCGGTAGCGACAGGAGATCAGGCTGTATGATCAGATCACCTTTGGATCAGTAGGGGTGCTCAGGGCTGGAGGGCTGGTGAAGGATGTTTCTGTATCTCTGGCCTTCTGGCAACCAGTAGGCCTAAAAAGTGCCCTTAATGAGAAGCCAGTCAGCGGCTGCTCAAGGGAAAACTGATGTGATAAATGTGAAGCTAGTGGACCTCTAATCTCAGAGCAGGGGGTTTTGCTCAGCCTGTCATGTGCTTTGACCACAGGCGTGGCTGTCAGGGCCGTCACGGCCTGTCTTGGCTTCATCAGGCCCCAGTCGTGTCCACAGATTAATGGACGTGTCTGATAACGGATTGCACCACTGAGCTGTGGGAGTGTTCCGTAATTAGGGGCGGAACGAAAGAGAAATGGCTAATTCGCTGGGGGCGATGGGGGTAAATGATGGGCTTAAACTTGGACTGACATGCTCTCAGCACCTCACAGCATGGCTGCATTTACTCATTTACAGGGAATTCACTAAGAATGAATAGCGCCCAATGACAGCATTTATTTGTGCATGCTATCTGATTAACTAAAGAAATGATGCAAATCTGCTAAATGTACAAATATTGCCAAGAAGCTGTGCTGAATTCAATGTGTATTCTGCATATCCGCATTTCCCTAGTTTGCAAGCCGGATGTGGAGGATTTAGCAGACTACTGTGATCTGAAATGAAATGTGCTTGACTACACCTGGATATGCGTAATATAAAGCTCTTTTCCAACATTCAGTAAAAAAGATTTAAAAAGGCAGTAATTGTAAATTAACAAATTAATTGCAGAGTTTTGTGAATAAGGCACAATTTATAATGGGTCTTATTTACAGAGAAGGGTGTTTCTTAAACTTCAGACACTTGTCCTGGGGGCTCATTTATATTAAAAGTAGGATTTTATATGAAGTGTTATATAAGATCACATTAACTGACTTGGAGACTTTTTATCAAGCCCTCATCATTCAGATTTTCAAAATGTAAAATTATTTTTATTATGTAGATTATTGATTTACTCTAATCCCATTGCCAGACCTTTAATTGTCCAATATGAAAATTGACTATAAAAATGTATAATCATCTAAACAAAGGCTGAAGTAAGCATAAACCACTTCAATAATTATTGTGTGAAAATAAAAATGATGACAGTTCCACCACACTAAATGATTTTGCACCTTATAAAATATACTTAGACAATAGGGTCAGTGAAGACAAATGAGGTGGCCATTTGGTCAAAAATGTCATTTCCACAATTGTCATTTCTATCACAGAATGCATGTTTTGAGACATAGTGGAAGTAACACCGTGGTTGGGTTTCAGAAATAATGAAAAGAAAAAAAAAAAAGAAGAAAAAGATTGGGAGAAAAAGGGTGCCCATAGTTGAAGGAATGAGGCAAGTTTGTACTAAAAAATTTAAATGGTTTAATGTAGATAATCATGATGCAATGCTCAGCACATGTAGTGACTTACTAAACTTGCAGATTGAAACTGGACTCAATCCAATTCCAGTGTTTGCCTATAGACGGTTTCATCGGGCGCATGCGCCTGGCCCGAATTTAACTTCCGGTCTGTTTTTGTTTATCGTTCTGGCTAGTGGCGCCGGCTACAAATGCAGTTAAAGTTAAAGTGATGAGTAATGAAGTTGGGCTCAGGTAGTTGTGCTGTGGGATGTATTTCCCATACTTATTTGTTGCGACCCGCCACAATATCAAAACCGATCAAGACCGATTTTCCAAAAGGCTTCGTTGAATAAACATGAGCACGTACTGCACGTTTAAAAATCTAAACGAGGCGCGGGTGTTTTTATATCATTGTATTTCTGAAGGAAGACTGTCTTTAGAAAATGTTCGATGTCGTTTTCATTTAATCTTGCATGTTATATGCCTGATAAAGCAGTGTTTGTAAGCTACTGCTTTGTGTACAACCTTTACCGGGGAAACCTCTATTTCTCCCGCTTTAAAGCACCTCCTGCTGGCAGAGAATGAATTTGCATTTTCAATAAGTCCGTCTGATTTACGCAGCAAATATATTTTGCTTGTTATGAAACATAATCTACTCTAGAAGGACTTATCCATTGTTATTGATTCTATTTGGAAGTCTACCGGAAGTTTAGTTAAGGCCACAAAAGTGCGCATGCGCAGTAACGTTTGTTTATGTTGTTGCCGTTGAAAGCATCTATTCCAGTGGTTGTTGCAATTTAACAGCACGTTATGTACCAAAGTAACAAATGTGAGCTCAGACATTGTTAAATGTTTGCCCTTGGTAATTTGTCCAACCTGCTATTGCTTTAAGTGCAAACAGACATGGCAACAGGCCTGCAAAGACCCTCAGAGCATGCAGATATGGCACAGGAAAGCAGACCGCATACCTCAGTGTGTGTGAAAACGCTAGTTGGGCCACACCACCCCAGCAGGAGCACAACCGTCAGTATTATCATGTGGAAATCTGTCTTAAACTGCAGGCAGATTAAAACAATATGTGTTTAGCCATAAAACACATGTTCAGTCTGCCCTGACGATGTGGAACAGAGGGTTGGCTATCATTGGCAAACTGTGCCAGAGCATTTAGTTATTGAGATCACAGCGACCAGATAACACACACTTTACTGTGAATTCCAGCTACAAAACATTAAATCCTGTGATGTTTCTATGCTTGTTGCATTTTAGATGCATCTGTCTGTTTAATCTCTGTTAGTTTATTTGCGAATCACTGCATTATAAAGAAGCGTAGTCACTCGATGCTTTAATTATTAAGAGACTCAATGAAAAAGAACAATTTTCCTTTCTTCAAAATTGTCTTTACTTACGAGCTACACGTTTTTAACCTAGCCTTTTACAAGATAAAAAGCAATTAATGCTCAACAGCATGCAAAAAATGTCAAAACAATCACTGTAGGCTTAGCTGTGAGGATTAATAAATATACATGCAAATATGACAGTTACTATAATCTTACAACAAAAGTAGGTCAATAAAAAAAGGGGGAAATGACTTGCAACCTGATTCAGGCGCAGTGGGCATTTGTGTCTCTTGACCCAATGTGGGCAAATGTTGGGATTTTAGTTTTTGGGATGAAAAATAGAGCAAAGGATTAAAGCTGAGCAGCATGTCATCAAGAGGGATATGGTCATGTGAGGACGATAAACCCTCTTTCTCTCTCTCTCTCTCTCTCTCTCTCTCTCTCTCTCCCAACGCTTCAAGTAACCAGTCAAAGTGACACTGTCTGGAAATCCGCTTCTGCTCTCTCTTCTGTGTTTATATTTAACAGTGGAGGCATGGGTATTGTTTTTACAGGCAGCCATTTTGTTGACAAAGGAGGCAGTATAGTCGAGATCAGCTTATTTAAGAGTCCAGTGCATGTCAAACCCAAGACCAGAAAAGTGAGTGTTGAGACAGAGAACTGAGGAGGGTTAAACAATTCAGACAGTATAAATATGCTTTTCTGTGGGGTGAACAAGCCTGGTTTTGTATGAGTGTCACACGAACATCTGCAGCACACATATAGTGCTCTAATCCAGAGACATAATAGAACAGAACGGATCATATGCACAAGTTGGCACATACCACAAAATGTGCCCGCAGTGTTAGAGTATTGAAGAGTCCAAGTCAAGGCATAGTCTAAATGCTCCATGGCAAGACCAGGACCATGAAAATATTGTCTTGTTTGGACTCGAGTACTACAACACTTAAAAGGAGGGAAGTTATAGGTTCCTTTAGATTTAAGAATCCAACATACATCAGCAGAGATAGTTCAAGAAGATAAAGTTGATGTTATAACCTGCTTGATGTTACAAAGAATTACAAGGTAAAAAATAAATTACTAAAACAAAACATATTCAGGGATGAATCATTGATACATATTGATTTCATGCTGACTTTACAAGTGTATGGAAATTGTTTGGTGTGATTTATCTATCCATAATAGTGACTTGTGGATCTCTCTTCAGGATTATGGGTAGTGTATTATTTAGCTCTTTATAGCTGAAATCAAGCTGCTTTCTACAGAAGCATACCATTGGTTAAATATTTTAACCATTGGTTTTGAAAGGTTTATATGTTAGCATTAAGTCTAAGGAATCTCTAAGAAAGTTTCTTAGAAAAGAGAAAATTATTCAGATTTTTAATTAAACCTGAACCTGAAAGTTGTGCTCCATACTGGTCCAGTCGGGTCAGTTCTTGTTTGGTGCTGCTCTAGCTAAAGAACAAGTATAGGCATGTTGTTCACCAGCACAAAATGCTGGTTGATCAGCATTATCTTTCTGGCAAAGCTGAGTGAGCAAGGAAGTCTTGTGGTTAAGTTTGGTGCATGGGGACACCAACACTCAGAATCCTGAACACAGCATATTCTGATGACCAGCAGCGCGGGTCGATTCATCTTTACAATTAAACATAGACATGAAACATCAGACTGTCTCTGTCAATCGAATTTACCAAAAGTGCTGTAAGCTAAGAAACCCAGTGAATCCTAAAAGCCTGACAAGTGTGCCCTAAAAGCCTTTTGTAAATGTAATAAGCCAGGCAGACCACCTATTATTGAATAAATAAACTGATCATCCTCTGGTTCCAACCCTGAAAGGACGACAGGAGAGAGACAAAAAAGAGACTCTAACTCTCAGATGTCTGATTTTGCGTGGCCTTCAGAAAATCCAGGTGATAAATTACCAGCCAGTAAGGAAAGAGGCCTGGATTTGACTTTTGAGATGGCAAATGTTGGGAATAATAAAATATTTCTGTCTGTTTCTTTGATTGCTTAATGTGACAAGCTCAACAATGGCCGATTATTTAGCCCTTATGATAAACTGCCTCTGATAAAGTAGGGACAGATATGTTAGTTAAAATTAGTTTATGCTAACTTGTCTATATGATATGAAACATTTAGCTCAGCTGGTAGCGCATGGTGCTCATAACACCAAATTCATAGGTTAAATTCCCATTGAATGTTACCAGAGAACTCTATATGATATGCAACATTTAGCTCAGCTGGTAGCACATGGTGCTCATAACACCAAATTCATAGGTTAAATTCCCATTGAATGTTACCAGAGAACTCTATATGATATGCAACATTTAGCTCAGCTGGTAGCACATGGTGCTCATAACACCAAATTCATAGGTTAAATTCCCATTGAATGTTACCAGAGAGCTCATATAAAAAATTTATGCATTAAATGCAATGCATGTTGGATAAAGTTTAACAAAAACCTGCAAATGCATACAATATAAAAAAGTAATTTAGTAGGTTGTGGTTTTATTCGCCGAAAACAACTTATTCAAAGCCTCTGTGTTTACAAAATTCATAAATGCATCATACAATTCTGAAAGAAGAAAAAAATCCCACATGTATATAGATAATCATGACCTTAGTCTAAAGTTTCTCGGTCCATCAGCATGCTTTGCTTTTATCTGCAGCTTTTTAGATATGCCAGGCTCCTTGAGATTAGCCTTGAGATTTAATTGTTTTCTTTGATTTAAATTGGTTAGTCAAATAGAATTTTATAGAGAGATTTTTCAGATGATTCATGTAAGCTTTACAATCTGAAAGGCCTGGTTTAAGGCTTTTACAGTATGTGGTTATTTGGTTGAACTGTGCTGTTCTCTTGCAATCAGTGTGCATTCATTTAAACAGGTTTATTCAGAAACAAAACCAGCTGTGGATGATTCACTTGGATAGCTATACGCATGAGTCTTCAGTGAGAGTAATTCTCTGTGTCCACGGTGTGTCCAGAAATCCACAAACCTCACAACCTCGTAAATCCACATAGTCCACATTGGACAGCTGGTTTAGTAACCTGCTTGGATTTATGGCCTCATTCAGAGTATGTGAGGAACGCTGTGGCATTCCGGACACTACAGCAATATTCTCGAAGTGATGGAGTGATTTGAAGTAAAAATGTCAATCTGTTTCTCTCAGAAAATGGAACAGACTTTATAGACCTTTTTTCCCACAGGATTTTATTTATTTATTTATTTATTTATTATTATTTTTTTTTTTATCAGGCATGCACAGGGACAGTCCTGATCCCTTGCATGACAAATCAGTGTTTTTTAAGCTGAAAATAAAACTTTTGCATGACAGCCTCCATGCAAAGTCAAAAGTGTGTCTAACAGTTGAACTTTCTGTCTTCCTTCCCCTTAATGCCATCTTCTCAAAAGCTGTCAACAAAACCCCTGGTAAGTCTTAGGCTGTGAAAACTCATCACATACTCTATAAACTCAAATAAAGTTCAGATACAGAGAATTAAAATAATGTTCTATTCACTTAATAGTCACTTTCACACATGAAGCCATATAATTGCATAAAACAGGACTCCAAACACTTTGTGTACATATCCCATTTTTAAATCACAGTCCAAATAAACTTATGGTTAATTCAAACGTGTCAAACTAAATTTCTACATTTTAATTTTATTGTTTGGATCATACTTTTTTTATGGACATTATTTTTTACTATGATCGTCAATTTACCATAAATTAAAAGTTTCACGTGGGTGTTAACATAAGATTACACTGGTCATTTTCTCCTAGCTTAGAATTCTCCTGACAGATGATCATAGTGCTTGTTGTCATGCTGTATTTTAGCACACTATCACAGTGCTGGCAGTGAACATAATCCTTGTTTGTAGTGAAATGCTCCCACACCTCATTAAGTTGAGCTCATTCCATTTTTACAAGCCAAGGCTCTGGTGTTGTAGAGGTGACAATGTGCAGAACAAGCTACATCTTGCACTCTAGAAATCCATCAGAATATAACAAAAAAAGGTAATCTTTTAATAATCATTAATACCCCTACCTTTACTAAAAAATTGGGAAGGAATTTGTTTTTCCTAAATTAAGATACACATGACATTTTCGACTCCCATGACATGATAGAAATAAATGCCATAGAGTAATTGCATTAGCTCATTCAGAAATTTGTGATTGACAAAGTCAGAAAACCCTCAAAGCTTGGAAAATACTGGAATATAAGCGTACATTTATACATTTAAGGCTGTATGTGTGAAAGTGAAACATTCTGTGTATATTACAATAATGTATTACTATTAGGGTTGTCAATCTTACAAAGCAATCATCTATTTTTTTTTTTTACATTATATACTAATTAACTAATAAACTTAACAAATAATCATATCACATATCACAAAGCATTTTAATTTCATCAAAGAATTAAAAAAATAAAAGCACAGTTTCTACAAAAATATGAAACAGCACAACTATTGTTTACATTGATAATAATAAGAAATGTTACTTATACACCAAATCAGCATATTAGAATGATCTCTGAAGGATCATGTGACACTGAAGACTGGAGTAATGGCTGCTAAAAATTCAGCTTCACCATTACAGAAATAAAATACATTTTAAAATATATTAAAATAGAAAACAATTGTTTTAAATCTTAATAATACAATTATATATATACAACAGTTCTTTCTGGTCCTCCATTCTGATTGGCTGATAAGAGTGCGATATAAGAGTGATAACAGAGCTCCTCCAACCGTTTGTATCACTATGTAATTTACTATAAAGCCACCAAATAAAGATCATTTAAAGACATGCTGTCGCAAAATTTAAATGAAATCGTAAATTATACTATATAATTATAGTATAATTGACAGCCCTAATTAATGTTAGCACATTTGTCCTGGAATTAGGGAGATAGAAATGCTCTCAATCTCTTTTCTGTTTGAGAAGCTTTTTTATTGCAGAAAGCTTCAGCTTTAGTGTGATAGCCATGGTTTGTCTGTCAGCAAACCATGAGTGGTCGCAATACCTGAACAGTATTGGTATTGGTGTTCTCAAGTTTTCTCTTTCTCTGTCTATCACTCGTTTTCTTTCCCAAGGGTTCGCGCATATGGTGAAGTCTCCACAAGGTATGCTCAGTCTCAATTCTCTCAGTGCACATTTTCCAATGTGTTTACATTGTTGTTGCGTCTGCTCTTGCACGTGTTCACAGCTCCCTGCATTGCATCTTGCTTTATGATTGGCTCTGCCCTCGTGACGCTGCATGATTATTGTCCTTCTGCTGAATTATGTAATTTCTTTCTGTGATACTGCGGTGAACTGTCAGTTTAGGAGTGCTGTTTTCCAAAGGTTGTCTCTCATAGCGAGTTATATTCTCTCTCATCTGTTAGGCTGCTGCAGTGCCAACCGACCTGTAATGAATGATCACCGATCTGCCCTCTATATTACTTAGATATCATTCATAGACTGGCAGAATTACTATGCAGCTATAAATATATATCCGTAAGCTAAACGGAACAGCTCTTCTCTGAATGAGCGATGCTGAAAGGAAGCAAAAGGGCATGTTAATAGAATTATTCCTTTTAAACAGGTTTTGCTTTTTAAGTGTGTGCTGTATGAATGATCTGCCATGATGTTTTTTTTGTGTCAAGGTTTCTTATATTTGTACAATTTTATCAGTGCATTGAACTTATGAGCTAGCAATCTTCACTAAGAGGGCACAGAATATGGTCTGACAAAATAAAAAGTCATTTACATTTTTAAACAGTGAAAAAATTAAGAAAATATTGTCAACATATGAAGGTCCGACTTTTTAAAAATATGTTATAAACAAAATTATATAAAAAATGATTTGCAATGAACATAAAATACAAATGCAGAATAAAAAAAATGTAATTAAATTAATTAAAATAAAACACTAAAGTCACATGTGTGTCACATTTATTTGCGTAGCGCTTTATACAATACAGATGCAATATTAATGTTGCAAAGTTCTTCAGTTGTGGAACAAATACAATTGCAGCTGTAAAGCAGCTCTAAAAAGACAACAGTGTTATTTTCCAGCTGAGTTTAGTTCAATGTTGATTCAGTTTAGTTCAATAACATTGTGAATTTTGAAAAGTTCTGTTATGAAGAAAACTCAGTTCAAATATAAAGCAGTTCTACAAAAGATAGTGTTAGTGCAGTCAAACTGATAATATTACTGAATATTAAGTGCTTTTTAAACCCCAACTGAGCAGGTGACAGTAGTGGAGAAGAACATGGTTAACAGGGTAACAAATGTAACCTAAATTAAGCGGTCACCAGTTTGGAACCAAATGTTGGTTTATAGTCATTAATAAACCTATTAGAAAAATACTTGTTACTTACTTCTTACAATAGCTCTGGTAACAGAGTTGAATAGTCAACCATGACAAATGTAGTCAACAAAACAATTTGCAGAAACATAATAAAATACGAATTTTGGAATGAGATTTTGTGCTTGCCTACCTGTCATACTGTCAAAAGGGTCCAAATGATTTCACTTGATGTCTGTCATGAATTTAAGCAATGACCAATGGAAAATATTGCTGTAATAGGGTTGCATGCTAAATTTTGACCTAATGTTATGTTTTTGGTCATTAATTTTAGTTTATTAAATAAAAGTATATTGCTTCCGTAATAGATAGATTATATCAATATATCTTGATTTGATGTTTAAAACGACCTAATTTTCATGCTTGGTTAAGTTAAATAGCTACATGTTTTATAATTGGTTATCTAGTGTATCTAATTGTTCTCATTGTAAAATAATAATAATAAATAAAATAAAAATTAATTAAAAAAAATGCAGCCTATTCACTGCAAATCCCACCTACTAATTAAGGTCACTTGACACAGAAATGTACACTTTTCTTGGGTGCATGCCTTCAGTGGGTTCTCAGTGGAGATGGACAGCGATTCAGACGTGAATCCATTATATGTCCTTAATTCAAAAGCTCATATCCTGACATGAAAGCCTCTGAACCGGACACAGAATAGGTTAGTCCTTATGGAGAAAGATTCAGCTGAATATATGAATCAACATATGAATCTTCTAGACAGAAATACAAAATAGTGCCAAACTCTGTCCCTGAGCATCTGTTAGTTTGAAAAACACTAATATGCTTTTTTCCCCATCTCAATTCAAGTGATATTGATGGAGAAGCTATTATATCAGTACTGATCATGTAGTACAAGGAATTCTAAGAAAAATCAAGTCAGATACTATAGTGTGCTCATATGCAATGATCATATTATCCTAAAGTGCATGCAAATTTGTCCTGAATGTGTGTGTGTGTGCACAATAACTATCATCCTACAATTTACTGTCCCTGTCTCTCTTTCCCACTGTCCTTCTTGTTGACATCTCCCTTCCTGTTTGTCTCTGTGGTCTCTGTGGAACCTTCTCAACCCCTATGTAGGCAGAAATAAAGGTATTGCATGCTTTCTTTATTATCTCAGTAGGCCTCATTAGCAATGTATCTTTCTAATTTTAAGGGTGTTTAAATAAATATAGATAAATATAAATATAAATACTTGAAAGAAAAAAAAACGCTGATCAAAAAATTGTTTTCAGTCAAAATGGATGAATCGTCTAATTCGCAGTGATTTCTGAGGCATATCATGTTGCAGTGCCCCATGTATCATGTTGCTGAGTGTGTGAACAGACTGGATTTTGAATATTTTAGGTATGTAATTCAGACAGCGCTTGTGTTTTGGGCTGAGTCAGTGACTCCTGGAACAGGTCGAGTGTATTACGACACCACCACATATTTATTCTTTAAAACCAGATATGCTGAGACAGAACCTTTCATATAAACTGACCTGTTGGATCTCTTTGCTGTCATCTCTAACTTTTTATTCATTTTTATTTATCTGTCAAAATGTAAACAATTCAGAGTTGTGACCTTGTGGGTTGTGCAAATGTTTTGTGGCATTGTATTGTGTCTACACAACATAAAACAACATTTTCCAATTGTAAATTTCCAATTATACTGTAGTACACAATGCAATTAGAAGCAAACAAACAAACAAACTTCTCAATTGCACATTGATTGTCAATTTTTTTTCAAGCTGAAGCAAATTTTGGATTTGTACTTTTAATGTAGCCAAAATACTAGAAAATGCTGGAAGTTCTGATGCTCCATATATACACTGCTAAGATTGTGTAAAATTATTTCGCTTTTCTAAAATAATAGATTGTCGATGGATTGCTGTTAAAATAAAGTACATTTAGGTGCAGCTGTGAGCTGATTGGCTTGTCAACATTCTGAGTTGACATGCGACTTTGGCGCTTCAAGTGCGCTTCAAATTGACAACTTGAAGTTGTTTTGACACCACATTAGACACATTTCCTGTCCTCTCTATGCACTTCCTATCAATACAAATAGTAAAGAAGCCAAAACATTTACGTAAATGAACAAATTATACTGTGCTAGCAACCCCACACATAGCAGATAATGGAAGAGACAGCTAATCGTAACAGTTTTCTTTCATGTACTGGAGGAGGAAAATGAAATCAGCACTTCACCAACCTTCTACTTATGTTTTAGTGAGATGAGAAGACGTTATTCGCTTAGGCTGATGGCTGAGGATCAGTGAGCTGGTGCTGAAGATAATGAAATTACTGGTGGCTGAAGGTCATCCAAACGGCTTCTGCTCAGAGCTAATCTAGAGCCTGCACAAGACTAGACTAGAGTCTGAAGTGACTGGGGCTGGGTGGGTTAGCTGGCTACTGCAGTCTGAGAGATATGCTATGTGACTAGCCGTCTTTGAGGAGTGATTAGAAGAGTCAGGAGAAGTTCAGCTCTAGTTTATATAATCTCTGCTCGGAGCTTTAGAGTTTCACTCTTCGGCCCCAGTCCTTAGTGCTCACTCTTACTAATTATCCCCTCAAAGTTTCTGCCTCTGAACAAAGATTCTCTCGATCTCTCATTTTCTCCCTCTCTTTTCTTCTCTGTGCATTTCGGTGCTCTAGATTTCTGGGTGGATTCATCCAAAAATCCCCTTCTCTTAGAACTGGGATTCGTTAGATGCATGCACATGTGCACACATCAAACCACATGTTCAAAAAGACAACAGACCCTCTGAATCACCTTCTAATAAACTGGTATAACGTAGCAAAGAGTATGCATTTTACAGTCTATAGGAAAAAGAAAGGAAAGGACGTGTTGACAAGTATGGTGTCCCATACCTGGAATTTGTACACTGTATTTAACCCATCCAAGTGCAGACACACACCAGTGAGTAGTGAACAAACGAACACACACAAAGAGCACTGTACATTAACTCCCCCCACCTACAATTACTGCCGTTACCGAGACTCGAACATATGACCTGTGACCCAGACTTGGGTTACAAGTCTGACTCTCTAACCATTAGACCACTAAATGAATAAGTAATACTACTATAGTAAATTGTGCACAGTGTTTAGTATACAATGTATTGTAAACAAAATACAGTTCATTATACTACAAGGCTGTTGAATGCTTGAGTCTGATTAGTCGATGTTGAACGTTCTAAGGTGTGCAATTATTTTTCAGGAAATACACAGATAAATTGGTACCAGACAGACCTTGACAGCATTAGTTCCAAATCACTTCACCAAGTGGAGTTATTTCAAAGGTGCTGCAACAGCTAAAGAAACAAAACCCAAAAACTCTGACGAAACCAAGGAATATAACAAACAATAGAATAAAATGACAAACTATTTCCAAGGTTTTCCTACTTAATTACATTTTATTATCAACAGAAAGTATGCTTTCTTTCTCAGCTTGTTGTCATCGCTGTTAATAAAACAGATTCGCAGCTGAAAAGCTATATGATATAACGTTTCTGTTCTTGAAGCCGTTAAATTACAGTTTCGCTGTTAGTAGAGATGCTGTGGCCAAAAACTTTTGAGAGATGCACAGATTCAGGTAATTCACAGACACTTCATACAGCTACAATTAATCTGTCTCTCTCGGTCGAATAACTGCATTAATAACGGCATTATCTATGGCTCAAGCCTCCATTACTACCTCTAAAATTATGTTTTGGAAAGTACAGCAATGTTTATAGTGTTTTACCCTCTAAGCGCCAAAGTCGCAAAATTGCAACAAGACGTCAT